TACTTCATTCGCTCGACATTTGCTCGAAATGGAGGTCAAGTTGTTGAACCAGCCAATATTATTAATGGTTGGCCAGCTGAAATTTGAGAAAAGAGATTTGTTGGTTGACCATCTATTGTATACAAATTGACATCTCTAGTACATTGACCTTGTTGGACTACACCTTGTGAAATTTTATTGTATTTAACTACAAGAAAAAAAGATGTAAAAAAAAAACGAAGAAATTAAAAGATTATTATTTATGATTAGTATTTTAAGAATAATTCTTTTCTAAAGACTTACCATAAAAAGCTGCTTGAACAATAGGATCATCTGGAAAACGATATAGAGCTGTACGTAATGCATTAACATCTCGATATCCGAAATATTCTACAACATGTTGTTGAATAAGATTATGTATATAACTAAAATTTCAGAATAATTCAATCATTGTATTTTAAAAGAAAAACAAAGTTATACTTACGTAACAGCACATTCATCAGTATGATATTCATCCATAATTTTTTGAATTGAATCAGACAAACGAAGATATGTTTCATAAAGAATCATTTCGCGAATTATTTCAATAGGAGGTAATTCACCGGATAATTTAATTGTATCAAATCCCATATGACCCGATGTGGGAAAAAACATTCGACACACCATGTATCGTTCCATTGGTGGTGAAGGAGGTGGTGGTGGTTGATAGCGTGGTAATTGTGGAAGAGAACGTTGGATAGATAATCCATTATTACCAGACAGTGGTCGTCCTTCAGCAGTTATTGCCGCTGCTGTCTTTTGTGCTATTTCAGCATAAAGCTTTTCAAGCGAATCAGTAGAAGACGTCTTATTGACGTCCATACTTCTTCGCTTCTATTTTTTAATATAAATGTAAGGTAAAATGAAAGAGCGTCATTCTTTTAATAACAGAACACGCGACAACGGAGGAAAGAGAAAAAACATTCCGTGTTCTTGCACCACCATATTTACTTCGACAACAAACCAAACAGTAGTTTTAAAAGTAGTTATGCACAAAAGATAGTAAATCATATGAGTCATCATCTGTTTCATATCAGATGATTACTAACAAATTTTTCTCACAAAGAAAATAATAGAAAATCTTCGTCTTGAATGATATGTATGAAGAGGATTGGTTTTCAGACAATAGCTTTATTTCATGCATAGAGAAAGAAAGTTTGTATTTATTCGAATATTAAACATATGATGAAAATATATCTCATATTTGAAAGATATCGTTATTACAGAATGGGATCTATGACTACTATCCATTTTAAAATATAATGTGCTTCACTGTTTTTTTTTCTAAATAATTTTTGATAGGAACATCGTAGAGGCCAGCAGCATTCAGCATTCAAGAGAGAAGATTCGGTGTCATCGATGTATATCGACATTTGATTGGTCAGCAATTGATCGATCAGGCGAATACTTGATGCAGATTTTCAAAAACGATATTCTGCAGCTATTTCCATTTTGATTTAGACTTTTAATAGAACTAATCGATAGAAAAATCCTTCACTTTTTGTCTACGCAAGGCCAGCATTCTTAGCCTGCTTCGGTTGAGAGTTATAAGACTATTCCTTACTCTCCCCCCCTCCCCCTCCAATTCCAGTCAATTGACCTGTGATCACCGGGAAAAGCAGCTATGCAAGAGTAATTCACCATGCTGAGCCGAACGGTTTTTTTTAGATTCAAACTGATGTGACATTGCTATCTCAATATTTCCGAAATGTCGAATGCTTCGTTATATTGAGACTGATTGTGAAATTTCAGAAGTATTGGGATAATACCATCGAATCAGCTTGAACCTAAAAACAAATATTACCGTTCGACTAAACATAATGAATTACTCCTGTCTGGCTGCTTTTCTAGATGATCATAGGTCAATTGGCTGGAATCGAGCGACTCAGGAAAAGTCATGTAAGTCTCGAACGGAACAAACTTGGTATGTCGGCCTTATGTAGATCGAAAGGGAGATAGCTTCAGAATACCGTTTTTGGAAACCTGTATCAAGAACTCACCTGACTGGTCCATTGCTGATCAATCAACTATTTATATACTTCAATGGTCTCGGGTTTTCTCTTGAATGATGAAAATCACAGGTCTCTATGATGTTCCTAGCAAAACTTATTCAAAAAACAGTCGAACACATTATATTTTGAAATGGTTAGTAGTGTAAATTCGAAAGAAAACTCCGACACAATTAATATAAGTTCTCCATAAATTTCTTCTTGTTCTACTGAATTAAACAAAGATTCAATTTCGACTCTTACACATCGACAATTGCTCGTTTGAATTCTAAAACTTATAATCTAGATTTCATCAAAACAAAATCTATCTCTGAATATATATGTGAATATACAATAAATGTATGAATAGAATTCTTATTATTATTCATAATACTTTTAAATAATACTCATAGATTGTTCCTCATCAAAAATTATCGAACAATACATTCGTTGAACTGGAGAGACGCCTATTTGATATTAAAAATCTTGTAACTGATGCGAAGTTTTTATTTATAAAATATGTCGACGTAATTAAGCAAAAAAAAATCAAAACAAGGATTCTAAGACAAAGTTTTAAACACGTAATTCAACAACTAAAAAAAGTTTACAAAATATTTCAAATGATTAAACTTCAATTTTTTTATCTCGATTAGTACACTTCCTATAAAAATTTATATTATTTGAATTCTATCCGCAGTGAAAGTTTAACTATACAAGTAGAAGTAATATTTTGACACATGAAAAAATATTTTGAGAAGACAAGTGAAACCTATTGCTTACTAACAAATAATAACTTTGACATGATCAGATAAAAATAACAACTTTTAATGAATATAATTTATTATTGAATTATGTCATTGCCTCGAGCGTTTTATCCAGATATTCTCCTTCAGAGAAGTGATTTCAAACTCTGGGAAGACGAACACTTGTTTTTACAAGTACAGACACATAGCTTTTAGTAAGGTGCCCGCAATTCAAATTTTCAGTAAAAACTTTTTTTGCCTTTTTTCACATTATTTGATAGAGCTTGAACTGCTGATCACAAAAATCTACTTTTTAGCCTTAGCAAATGCTTCCTTCCGGTCGAAAAATACGAAATACTCAAAAAGTGTCGTTTTTCGAGAAAAACATATCTTTTCTCGAAATGTCCGAAATTTTCCACTTTATTCTTTTTTTCGCTCCGGAAGATATTTTTTTGAGATTCAGCATCAAAAACTGAGTATAGACAAGTTGTTAAATCGACTCTAGACTCGAAACTCTATTGGTGATGGCACTTCGAATCGTATGGAGTGAGATGCGTATAGGTCGATTTTGTAAACGTATCTAGTTTTTGCACGTAAACGATGAAGCCAAATATTTTGTCACATTCAATTCATCATATCATCCCTTACAACGCTACCGATCGTTTTTTTTTCTTTTCTTTCCTATGTTGAGAAAACTCGTTTTTACTGGTACCATAGCCATTTTAGACGGTATTCAACGGTTTTCGAATTCAAATAAGACTTTTTGTCAAAAAC